ATAAATCAATTCAGTATTAAATTTTGTAAGAAATTGAACAACTATCATGGTATAATTGTACCTAATACTTTCTTACAACAATATTCACAAAAATGAAATAATCTGGCCAGCTTTGGCAGCAGTCACTGCTAGAAGACGCACGGCTAACTATAGGTTTGAAATTCCCTTGAGTTGAAATCATACCAGGCATACCCAAGATTCTAAAGAGCTGGGTGGCTGCAGGAAGGGGATTAAGGAGTGATGAGACCCTGTCTATCTTTCTCTTTCTCACATGCACATACCCCCTCCTGATGCAAAAAAAAATTCAGTTAGCCCAATTCACTTCTTTTTACACTGAGTCTACTTTTTATCACTAAATTCACATTGACCACCTTTTTTTTTTTTGGAGAAGTTTTTACTATAGGGCACGTGCACTCACCAGAAAGACAGGGAGAGACAGAGACACAGAAAGCGATAAATCACCAACTCCCCCCCCCCAGGGGGGATGGCCACAACACGATCCCTTCTCCATTCTTCTCTCGGGATCTTTGGCATACATGCACACGTGCCCGCTGTGAGTTTAAGCCACTGGGTCTGGGATTCGAACTGCGGTCAACTACATGGGAGTCCAGCAAGGTAGCCATTATGCCAACTGCTGGTCCCCACACTGACTACCTTTAAAAATGATCTATCTTGAAACATTCCCACTTGGCATTTACGGCAGTAACTACATTTTATTTAGGCTATTTTTCATTTCAGGGCCCTTTATTTTGGTAATAAGAAATAATGGTAGGTTATAAACGTTTTTATTTTTTTAACAGAGGAAGCTTGGTGGTGGATATGTGGCCACTTGATGTTGTGTTTAAGAGAATTCAGGCTTGCTCTCTTATAGAATGTAAATGTTCCCTTACACATGTATACATAATTCTTACCAAAATTAAATTTAGTCACTAAAAGAAGATTCGCTGTCTGAACTTTCTTCTGTAGTTTTTTCAATTTCACCATCAGGCACTGGAGCATCTGGCCTTCTGAAAGAGACAAAGGAACAAAAAAAAAAAAGAAAAAAATTTTTCTTTTTTTTTTTTTTTTTTTCAACTGAAAAAGTACTTACACACTGTAAATTAGGTTCACTTAGAATACTGCTGCTAGTACACCTGCCAAGTCTGTGTCCTTAGCTGAGGGAGTCTCCTGCTCCATGCAACAGTGTGCTTCTCTCTGGCTTCTTCAGGACCAGGGGATTAAATGTTATTCCTGTGGAGGCCACGGCCCTATATTCTCTTGCCAGTCCTTACATAGTGTGCTACTTCAGCAGTTTTTGCCTGCCATTACCATAGAGACACAACTATAGACAGATGTGACCTGCAGAGGCTGGCATGCCCAGGACTCAATCCCTGCGGCCTTCAAGGGCACATGAGGTACAGAGAAAGAAAAACTTAAAATGGAAAAAAAAATAAAAATAAGGAAACCTTCATGTTCAGGAAAGCTGCAGGGAGAAATTGAGAAATAGAAGAGATCGAGAATAGCTACTAAGAAACATAAGCAATATGGAAATTTTGCAGAGGAGGAAAGTAGTCAAAGAATGGTCTTAGTGTTTGTGGAGTGTTTTCACTTATGTGTTTTATCTCTAGAGAAAAAATATAAAAAGTTTAAGTTGGCAAAAATAATGTTTCAAAGATTCCCTAGGCACAACAAGAAGACATGAGAATGATTAAATGTCACCTTTGTATGAATCTGCTACAAGTTAAAATGAAAACTTAATGCTGTTATTAAAACAGTCAACAAGATAGGCCCAAATAGCACTGGTGCCAGTAAATTATTTAATCAATACAGGAGCACTATCACTCAGCTTTTATTCATTCTTACAAGGAGAGTAAATAAAGCAAGGAAAGTAGACTTTTGGGGAAATGAAGAAGAACAATATAGCTGTAATAATTAATAATTAAAAAAAGACCAGACGTATTTGTCCTTCAGGCTATTTAATTCCTATTAAAGATTTAGGACATTCGACAGATAAAATTCTTTTTGGCACAAACAGAAATTACCATTAGTAAAATTAAAAATAGATAGTCTACTAGTTATTTTTAGTTATTAAAAACTATAGCTTATACTTTTTAATAGATTTGACTTGTGTAATAAAGAAATGCTGGCATTGCTGCTCCCTAGGTATCAAACAGAAACCCGTTTGCTCTGGTGCACATGAGGAAACACAGACAGGTACCCAATACAGGACATCTCTAAAGCTGGGTACAGCATTTTTAGGTTTTTGACTAATATTCCATCTGCCTCAAATACTAAGATAGGACCATTGCCTACACTACTTTTTATAAAAACAATAACTCTGGAAGTAGTGGGCATGAATATTGAACACATTTTTTTCCAGCATATTTCTCTTTGCATATAGTCAGTTGATTTCTTACTATCTCAGCTTGGTTAAAAAGAAAAAACAATTACCGGAAAGAATTATTTTAATACCATATCAAAATTATATTAGTATCTATGACAACTCAAACAAATAAAACAATGTACATAACTCTAAAATCAATGCTTCTTAAGGGTAAATGCAGCTTAGGTACAGAGGGAATGAAATTAGAAAATTCATTATGTGTCTAACCATCTATTGATACCTAGGACACTGTTTTGCATAGGAGTTAACACAGACTCTTGGGCGAGACAATCTGTGTTCAAATCCCAGCCTCCTTACCTACTTGTTAGGCAACTTTGAGGAATATATTTAATCACTTGGTGCCCAACTAAATTATTGGACCATTGTGATGACTAAACCAATAAATGTAAAGTATATTGAATACTATTTGGCACATAGAAGTACTAAGTAAATGTTATTATTATATTACTCCCATTATTATGTCCCTAATATTTGCTGGGAACTATGTTAGGTACTAGACTCACAGAGACAAATAACAAGTGGTTCCTGCCCTGAAGCAGTGATATTTTGGTGAAGCAGACAGAAAAGCAAAGAGAATATTTTATACAGTGTGATGTATTCAAATACAGTCAAACTAACTATGCTGTGTGAAAAGGAAAAGTAGTCAATTCTGCTAGTCAATTCTGCTAGTGTTGGTAAGAGATGACTTCAAAGAGGTGGAGATATTTATGAAGGGTTCTGAGATATGGTGGGAGTTTGCCAGAAATAGAAAAGGTGGGAATAGTGAGGATTAGAACATTCTGGGTAAAGAATGAAAAGAGCATGGGGTGGCATGTTACATTTAGGAACTGTAGGTCACTTGGTAGCTGGACCATAATGTGTATCAGGGTGCAACAATGGATAAGATTAGACCATTTGTCAGATACAGTAAGTGTGAGGAAAAGTTATGTAAAATAGATTTTCACTGAAATAGAACTACTAACTTAAGATTTTAGGCATTTATTAACTAATTCATTCATTCACTTACTTACTTATTTTAAATATTTCACCAGAGAGAGAAAGATGAGAAAGCATCCCCCCATGGGGGATGGCCATCCTGCAACCTCTTCACCTCCATTTCTCTGTCCTTTTGGGAATGTTAGCCTCCTGCACACAAGTGCTCAGCATGTTTTTCAAGTCACTGGGTCCATGACTTGAACTGCAGTCAGTTATGTGGGATTCAATCACCTTAACCACCATGCTACTGGCTACAGCCTATATTCATTATTTTAAAAATTGTGACATAGGGGCCAACAGATGGCATGGTGGTTAAGGCACTGGACTCCCACATAGCTGGCCATGGTTCGAGTCTTGGACCTGGCAGCTTGAAAATTATACTGGGCTCTTGCACATGCATGCCCAAAATCCCAACAAGAGAATGGATTGTGTCATGGCCATCACCCCTGGGGGCGGGAGGTTGTGATTTCTTACTTTCTCTCTGTCTCTCTTTCTCTCTAGCAAGCACACATACCCTATGGCAAAAACTTTAAAAAAATTATATAATTCACTATCACAAAATTCACCATTTAAAAATGTGCAATTAGTGGTTTTCAGCATGTTCATAAGGTGTACAACTATTACCACTATTTAATCCCAGAATATTTTTATTATCCTCAAAAAAAAAAAAAAAAAACCAAAAAAAACCTGTACCCATTGGCAGGCACACTACATTGTCTTTTATTCTCAGCTCCTTGCAACCAGTGGTCTGTTTTCTGTGTCTATGGATTTGCATATTGTAGGCATTTCATATAAATGGGATCATAACAATATTAGGCTTTTGTGTCTGTTTTTTTTTTTTCCACACAGCATAACATTTTCACGGTTCATCCATGTTGTAGCATTCATCAGTTCATTCTTTTCTTTCTCTCTTTTTTCCTTCCTTTTCCCTTATTCCTTTATTGGTCTCTCTTTTATTTCTTTCAAGTGTACCAATCTATTTCTTCCATGACAGAGAATCAGAGAGGGAGGGAGGAAGGGAGGAAGGGAGGAAGGGAGGAAGATAGAGAGAGACCACCAAAAGGTCCCCCATGCCGTGATCCTTCCCCCAGCCTTAGCTAGCTAGAATTGTGGACACGTGTATGTGCCTGGTTAGCACAGGAAGGCTTCAGGACATGAACTCAGGGCTGTCCCATGTGAACTCAACATTGCAGAGCATAGTGCCATTGCTGCACCATTAGAGTTGACCAATACCTAATTCCTTTTTCTTTGCCTTTTTTTTTTTTTTTTTTTTTTTTTTAGGTTTCAATTGTTGATTTCTTCCTTCCACAAGAAAGACAATGACAGAGATACAGAAAGTGACACAGACCTCATTCCTCTTTATAGTGAATATTATTTCACTGTATTGCTATATCATATTTTGCCTATCCATTTATCAGTTGATAGACATCTGGGTTGTTTATACATTTGACTATTACAAATACTACTACTATGAACACCTATATACATGTTTCTGTGTGAACATATGTGGAATTGCTGGATCACACAGTAATTCTGTTTGATATTTTGAGGAATTAACAAACTATTCCACAATGGCTACACCCTTTTACATTTATACCAGCAATGCATGAGGGATCTAATTTTTCCACATCCTCTTCAATACCTCTTATTATCTGTTTCACTCCTTTTTTCCCTTTTTTCAATCTTTATATTGTAGTAAAATATATATAGCATAAAATTAATCATAGCCATTTTTAAGTGTATAGTTCAACAGTGTGAAATACATACATACATTGTTGTACAACCATCACCACCACCTTGAGAACTGTCTTCACCTTGCCAAACTGAAACTCTGTACCCATTAATCAATATTCCCTTCTTCCTCTAGCTCCTGGCAACCACTATTCTGTCTCTATGAATTTGACTACTCTAGATACTTCAAATAAGTGCAATATTATATTATTTGTCCTTTTGTAACTGGCTTGTTTTACTTACCACAATGTCCCACTGATACATTTATGTTGTAGCCTATGTCAGAATTTCCTTACTTTTTAGGGCTGAATAATATTCCATTGTATGTTATTCCATACCATATTTTTTTCACGTAGTCATATGCCAGTGGACAGTTGTGTAGCTTCTATGTTTTGGCCACTGTGAATGATACTGCTACAAACACAGAAGTATCTCTGAGATCTAGCTTTCAGTTCTTTTGGGTGTATAACCAGAAGTAAAATTGCTGTATGATAGAGTAATTCTATTTTTAATTTTTTGAGGAATTTAAATACTGTTTTCCATAGCAGCTGCATCATTTTACATTCCCACTAATGGACAAGTGTTCCAACTTCTTCACATCCACACTAATACTTATAATGATCTGTCCTTATTCATTTTAACATAAATTCTATGGTACTTTCAATTGAAATCACAAGGATAACAACAAAAAAAGTTTATATTAGTGTCTTGGTTATGAGAAAAAAGGAGAAACTTCAAGAAATTGTAAGAATTAAATGAGATAACATGAATAGGTAATATTTAAAACTTGCATAAGTTTCTACTTATGATCAGAAATGCTCTTTCTTGTATATATGAACTTTTCATTTTAAATTGTTTTCTATGGAAAGAAATTTTAATAAAAGTTTTAAAAAGTTGCTACTTTGGGGCCAGCAGGTGGTATAGTGGGTAAGGTGCTGCACTCCCACATGGTCCACCATGGTTCAAGTCTTGGATCTGGCAGCTTGCTTTCTTACTTTCTCCTCTCTCTCTCTCTGGTCAAATTTTAAAAATAAATAATAATAACAAATAAAATTAAATAAATAATTTGGGGGGGCACCAGCAGTTAGCATAAGGGCTATGTCGCTAAACTCCTATGTAGCTGACCGCGGTTCAAGTCCTGGGCCCAGTGGCTTGAACTCATGCCAGGCGTGTGTACATGCATGCCCAAGATCCCAAGAGGAGGATGGAGGAAAAGGGATTGAGGCATGGCCATTCTCTCTGGGGGGTGATTTCTCGCTTTCTGTCTCTCTGTCTCTCTGGCGAGTGCACATGCCCTGTAGCAAAAACCTCTCCAAAAAAAGAAAAAGAAATAATTTCTTTTTAAAGTTGCTACTTCAAATGACTAGCTAAAATTTAGCTTCTTCAAATTAAAAGAAAAAACAATTCACTACTAAAATCTGTAAATTAGAACTTTGTAATAGTATCATACTATTTTAAATACATAAGAGGATTGGTAAAAACAGAGTGTTATCAGCAAATACAGAAAAAATATGTATTATGCATATTTTTACAAAAATTTCCATCTTTGGACCAGCAGTTAGTATAATGGGTATGTCGCTGAACTCCCATGTAGATGACCACGGTTCGAGTCCCGGACCCGGTGGCTTAAATTCATGCTGGACGCATGTACATGCATGCGCAAGATCCCGAGAGGAGAATGGAGGAGAAGGAATTGCAGTGTGGCCATCCCTCCTGGGGGGTGATTTCTCACTTTCTATCTCTGTGTCTTTCTCTGTCATTCTAGCGAGTGCATGCGCCCTATAGCAAAAATCTTTCAAAAAAAATAAAATAAAATAAAAACCACAAAAATTTCAATCTTTAGTGGTTACAAGAAAACACACTAGCTTGGTGGCTACATTTTAATAAGGGTACTTATATAATCTGTAACACTAAGATTATCATCATCATGGCAAAATTTTTTGAAAGTTTGAATTTAAACTTGTTATTAAGTCTAAATTACCTTTAAAAATATATCTTTTGGGGAACCAGCAGTTAGCGTAATGGTTATGTCGCTGGACTCCCATGTAGTCGACCGGTTTGCGTCCTGGACCCGGTGGCTTAAACTCACTCCGGGCGCGTGTGCGTGCATGCCCAAGATCCCGAGAGGAGAATGGAGGAGAAGGGATTGTGGCATGACCATCCCCCCTGGGGGGTGATTTCTCGCTTTCTGTCTCTCTGTCTCTCTCTGTCTGTCTGGCGAGTGCACGTCCCTATAGTGAAAACCTCTCAAAAAAAAAAATATCTTTTGGGGGCTGAACAGTGGAAAAAAATTTACAAACTGTTTTCCATAGCAGCCACATCATTTTATTCTGGCTGTGACCAGAAGTAAATCATGGTATCAGGACTCTGTTTGAGGATGCTGTTTTCCTCTCTCTTTTCCCCTACCCTCCGTCTCTTCTCATTCATTCATGGAAGGAATGAATAAACTTGAAAAAATAAAAAAGAAACCAGTATTTTTTGAAAAAGTTACTAGACTGACCTCAACTAAAAATGAACCAAAATTTAGAAAGGAAAAAAGGAGAAGAAAAGACTAAGTATATACAAATCAGAACATTTTAGCATACCAGATGCTGTGTACATGCTAATTTTGACACGCATCCTTCTCCTACTCATGTCAATCAGGGAATGTTGTCAACCAGAATCTCTGTTGCCCTCACCCTTTCCTTTACTACTTCCTTATTTCAGTCACATGATCCAAGCCTGGTGACAAAAAATGATGCACAGAAATGTTAGGTAATCAATCCAGGGTCTTATAGCTAGAAAGTGGCAGGGCAGAACCTAAACCTAAGCAAGATCATCTGTAGAGTCTGAGTGACCCTTAACCAGTATGAACATTGTTTCTTGTTGATGCGCAGGTCCAGAAGCTAGCCTTAAAGTTGTAAAAGTCATAATTACTGGTAATATTAGTAACCTTAATTCTGGGACATAAATGTGAAAGAATAAAACAATATAGGGGAGAATCTTTTTTCCATATTTTTTGGCCTGGTATAAAAATCTAGGCATTGATTGAAGGAATTTATAAGGCATGATTTATCCATTCTATATTTCTGAATGCAAAACTAAAGCAAATTAATCTTTGGACAAAGACCAATTAAAACTTTCTTTTTTATTTCTCCATAAACTCTTTTGAGTATGTGACTCATATATCTTTTTATTTTAGTGGCAGTGAAACTGATTTTTACAAGCTAACCAGGAATAATTCTTGGTTCTTTAACAACAACTGGTATTTTCAGAAATTTAGATTTATAAAAATAATCAAACACCTAGACGTATCACACAAATATTTATTTAGTAATTAGAAGGCATTTTCTTTCTTTTACAGACTTTCTAAAATTCTATGATAGTTACTTTTCTAGGAAAATTGCCAGGCTCTCTTCTCTCTTATCATGTAAATTTAGTCTAAAATTATATACTCTTAGCTTCCAACATTTTATACACACAAGCCAATCAAATGACAATATATTTTGTGTTGAATATTTATTTATATAGCAACCTCAGTTTTTTTCTTTGCCCCGTGCAGATAGATCTAGGCTTTTTTTCCTAACAGCTACATGAGTTTGTCTTACTACCTAAAGTTAATATAAAAAAAAAAAAAAAGAAAGTGAATGTTTATACTTTAAAAGAAACAATCTTTACTAAGAGTTCTTGGTTGAGGCTTAACATGTACCTTGGATTCTAAATAAAAGTGTACTTTTCCCTCGGATGGCACATTTTCTTCTCTTTCATCATCTCATGCTTTCTTCCAAAGTGAGGCTCCTTAACTGTTGTATAAACATGATTCTGAAAGCGCCAGAATTCTTTTGTTAACGAGGCGGTTGATTGCACTTATCATATTGAGCAAATGTAGTTGGAACTGACTTGGTAGTAATGGTGATAGATTCAATGGGGCCCCCCCCCCCCCCCAACTCCAACCAGTGCCCCTGGTGACCAATGGCATGTACTTATGAGGTAACAGGTCAGAACTTGGGCTTAAGGCTGTGGTTGAGGAGCAGCTTTCTGTCAGACAAACGTTCACTGTTACGGGAATTCTACCCTAAAACTTGGCACCACTTCATAACTGGATGTTTCTCAACATTTATAGACAATGACATACCCTCAAACTTGCTAAGTGAGATACAAATGGGTAGCGGGGGTGCTTGGGACTCCTCCTTGGTAGTAACCTATGGACTTAAGGTAGTGCTAGCTAAAAGAATCTCGAAGAATAGGAAATCTGCCAAGACAATTAGATGGGCGAAGAGAGCTCCATGGAGAGCAAAGAAAGCATTTTAAGACATTGACTGGGAATAAGAAAATTATATATCCAGGGTACTGTGAGTAGTTTACTATGGCTGCATGAGATAGGCCTATGTGGAAGAGTGGCAAGAAATGATGTGACAGAGAGAATCTAGGTCTTGATGATAAAACTATCTATATGCGAGGCTAACACATTAGACTATATGTTGAAGACAGTGGACAGTCCCAGGAAGATGTGAAGCAAGAACAGAGTATGACCAGATTCTTTCAGGTTTAGTGGGTGGCTTAAAAGAGAACAGGAAAACTAATCAGGAGCTACTATAATATTCAGGTGAGAAACAATGAAGGCCTGAACTAAGCAGAAATGGTTGTGGATGTACATGTCAGACATGAGAAATAACAACACCACAGTGACTGACACAGGAGGCGGTAAGGAGGACGACAAAATCAAAGGTAATTTTCAAGTTGCCAGTGTGGGTGACTGCTTGAGGTAAAGAATTATGAATCAGGTTTAGGCTGGGTGGGGAATGAAATGAAGCCAGTGGCAAGTAAAGGGCCTGGATATCCAGCATATGCCAATACTTATAGGATGCTGGTTTTCCACTTAACTTTTTCTCTAGAGAGAACTATCATCACTTTAAAGGTAATTTTATCTATCTGTTATTATAAAACATCTACTGTAGTGCTTGCTTTGGCAGCACATATACTAAGACTGGAACAATACAGAGACGATTCGCATGACCCCTGCACAAGAATGACAGGCAAATTTGTGAAGCATTCCGTATTTTTATCTATGAACCTAACACACAGGAGCACCCAAATAAGTGAAGGAAAGACTGTTAGATCTAAAAGAAGAGAAAGACTGCAACACACTAATTGTTGGAAAACTCAACACCCCACTATCCCCTCTGGACAGATCATCTAGACAAAAAATAGGTAAAGAGATAAAGGATCGAAATAATATCATAAATCAAATGGACTTTACAGACATTTATAGAACTTTCTACCCCAAAACCATTAAACACAGTAAATGGTTGTGAATATCAGATATAGTGTGGGTCAAAGAGTCTGAAGAAGGACATTTAGAAGAAAAATAGAGAGGCAAAGCATTAATAGGACAAAGAAATGGGGTATTGTCTATTGAAGATAATTTTATAGTATTATCAACCGGACTAGGGAGAAATGCACACATGTTGGAATATTCACTTTGTAAGCTAAATAATGCAACTGAATGTATAAAAGAACATGAAATAAAAAATAAAAATTTAAAAAGAGGTCTACTGTATATTTTCAGAAACAAAAAAGAGGTCATAGTCAACGTTAAATGTATTTATATATTTATAACTTATATTCCAATGAGTACCACAATGGATTGGACCTATATGTTCAATTCACATTGAAATATATGTAACAATCTATCTGCTTATAAAGTGTGTATCAGAAACAGTTTCCAGAACAAATGCCAAATATTCTGAAAGTGCTTTTAGCTCAAATTACGAAGTCAGACTTGAACTGGCTGCTACTTGGATATATACCAAATGTAGTTATGTGTTAGAAATTCACTCTTGTAGACTTATCAGATTTCATATCTTAGAAGAAAATATAAAGAAAAAAGGCTGTTTTATGGTGTTTCACCCTGAAATGCACACCTTTTCTTGAAGGTCTGAGAGCCAAGAAAAATTCCAAAGTGTGGTGCTAGCACAGTATGAATATCTGGATAACATATCTAAATACATGGGGGGGGGGTGTGAACTAAAATACCAGATTGGCGAGGCTCTTTACAAGCATCTGGATACATGCAAAACAGAATAGTTCTAAAGAATCCATTAAGATATGTTTTATCTGAGAATGTATGTAGCCAAGCTTCCTTGAAATGAAATGAATTATTGTCAAATATCTGAGCCACAGGCTTTTTAGCATTTCTCAAAAAATATTTCATAAAACTTACAGAAACTGGTGTCTGGTTTTATAATAACTATTTATGTGGACCTGGAGTATCTTTACCCTATTTATTTTTAAATCTGGCCTAACCTAGATCATGGCAGAATAAATTTCCTACACACTAAGGTCTTAAATGAAAAACAGATAGATAATACTGCTTCCATCCCTAAAAAAAAAAAAAAAAAAAAAAGGCAGCCTGAAAAGAAAAAAAACGCCTGTCATCAAATTCCAGCTGCCATGGATATCGAGGTTCATCATTGATCTATTGAAACTGTTCCTAAAATGTTCAAAAGCTGATTTTAGTATTGAAGGATATTTTTCTTTTTTTTTTTTTTTTGTAACATTCCAGAGACACTATTTACGGAGATGGTTTCCTCAATCATAAAATGCTGTGAAAAAAAAATTAGGAGAACTTGAAACTTTTTGTGTGTGTTTTTTTAAGTTTTTGCCATAGGGCTTATGTGCTTTCTGGAGGGAGACGGATGGAGGGAAAGTGAGAAATCACCCCCCAGGGGGTTGGCCATGCCACAGTCCTTTCTCCTCCATTCTTCTTTTACAATTTGGGTATGCACACACATGTGGTGGTGTGATTTTCAAGCTGCTGAGTTTCGGACTTGAACTGTGGTTGGCCATGAGGTAGTCCAGTGCTTTATCCACCACACCACCGGCTGGCCACAAACTTAAAATATTTTTTATTACAACTGACAAATTCAGTATCTTGGCAGTAATATCAGTAGAAGAATTACTTACTCAAGAAGATCTGGGTCTAGTCCTTCTGATATCATTTTGTTTCTTATTGCCATCACTGGAACACCCTAAGCAAAGGACACAAAATAAAACTTCAATCACTAAAATGTTTCCTTTGTGTCTCTACATAACATCTAAAAGAAAATCTACAGGTCTTATTATTTAAAAAGGCTCTTACTTTGCTTTTATATTAGTATATGTGTATTACCTGAATTATCTAATGGGGTAGACATTTTACACAGACTCAATGGAATCAGTGCTAATACGGCATAAACCCAAAATAAATTGTTTGAGTTTATTTATTACTAATTCTGAAAAGGCAGAAATGAGATTCTCTTCTTTTTTGTTTAACCATTTCTAGAGGGCACACGCGCTCACCAGAGAGAAAGAGAAAGTGAGAAAGCATCTTTCATGGAAGATGGTCATGCCGTAAACACTTCTCTATTACTCCCTCATTTTGGGATTATGGGCATGAATGCACACGTGCCCAGCATGTTTTTCAAGCTGCTGGGTACAGGACTCAAACTGCATAGTCAGTTACATGGGATCCAACTGCCTTAACCACCATGCCATCTGTTGGTCTCTCACTTTCTTACACCACTAAAAGAAAGAAAACATTGACAACTCCAATGTTACAACACTGGCAGGAGCAATGAATACTTAACTATATGAATAAATGTTTTTTCAAATAAAGATTTCAGAGCTTTTATCTTAAGAATAGCTATGCTCAAGAATAGCTATGTTAATGCTGTTTTGATAAGTAGTTCAATTCACTTTGGATACAGTAGGCACAAAAGTCAAAAAGAATTCAAGAATCCTTCTGGGATTATATTATACTTCTTCCCAACACCAATAGAAACACTAAGCAATGATAAGTCTAGAGTGTATAAATTACAAAAATATTGAGCTGTAAATATGTGAAGCAAAAATTGGTAACAATGATAAGAAACTGAATTGATGCAGTTGGTGTGTGCAAACTACACATTGAGAACTGAATTTTAGAGTTCAGGTTAAGAAAATTGAAACAGTAATAAAAGAGAACTGCTTTGATGGCTAAAAAAAAACATTTATGGAAAGCTCTAAGGGGAAAAGACACAATCAAGACTCTATCAACTTCTCCTCTTCATACTATCCCCAAAGATGAGGAGAAACTAATTTGAAGTCTTACATTTGGGCGTTTAGTACATCACCTTAAAAAGTAAGGTGGAAGTGACCACTGGATAGGGTCACTGTGAGGGACCATCTTCCTCACATCTTCTCTTTATCCCATGTAACCTTCAAAAGAGGCAGGCAGAGCTCAACTACTTCTCTATTGCTGTTGTACACTCTTCCCATGAGTCCTCTAATGTCACTAGCCAACTGCAACATTCAGTTCTGAATGAAAGGTACAGAAGATATCCCTTTAGAGCTCTTGGAGCTCTATGCTTCAGTCTAACTTGTCAGAGCTTACCCTGAAGTTTCTGGGCACCAATCCAGCTAGGGTTTTTTGCTTTCTTTCACAATTGTCCCTTACGTGTTTTCTGGTCTCAGGGATCTTATAGGGTGGTTAGCAATAAATGTGCTGTCATTGGTGGTAGAATTCTGATACCACAATCCTATGCTTCAATGGTTAACATGACCACTATAACACAGTGCTTTATGCTAAGAAAATAGTCATACTCACTCCGTCTTCAGGAGTGCACAGTCTAATAGATGTGATAAACGGATGATCACACTATGATTTTACAATTGACAGTAGAGGGCTACATAATAGGCAATGTTAGAGTCAAAGAAAGTCAGACTGAGCTTGAGCACTAGTGATGGGTTTACCAAGATAATCTTTAAGCTAAGTCTTGAAGATAGAATAGGAATATTTTTGAAATAAAGAACCATAAAAACTTAGAAATATATATGAGTCTTTAAATAATTTATCATATACAACACTGTCTCAAACACAACTTTTTTAGAATAAGAATATACTTGTCCAGCTATTTCTCTTCTCCAAAGTGCTGATCGGTGTGGATGCTGGTGACAGCAAGGGGCAAAGCGGTTGGTATAGAGTAGGTAGTGGATGGTGGGTGTGAGACAAAAAAGAACAAGATTATAAATGATAAATTTTTGTTTATAAGAGAAAAACGAATCAAAAAAATTTTTTGTATTATCTTAAATAGTTCACAATAGTATATATTTGTTAATTTATCTGTCATAAAAAGAGCACTGTGCCTCAAAGAAATGTCTAACTAGTGCACAATGTTTACAGTTTTCTGGGTAATTGTAGTTTTTTGTTAATTTATAAGTCATTGCTATAAATATCACTTTCATTTTTGGTACACATGAAATTGCAACTAAAATTTATTTTGTCAATGTTTTTTGAATGAACTGAATAAAGTTTTTGTTTATTTAAAAAATTATCACAAGTTCAGTATGAAAGTCTTCAAAGTTAAGAACCATCCATACAGGTCTCAAAAATTTAATTCTAATTTCTTTTTTAAAAAGAAAAAAGATAGTTAAAGAAAGGGTCATAATCACTTATTTTAGCTATGGAAGAGAAAGCGTCCACATCCCTTCTCATAACTTGCTAAGTTAAATGAGGTTGGAAAAGCAAAGGCTTTCTTTCTATAGGTTACTCAGAAGATACCCTCCAAAGAGAGCCAGCAAAGGCAAGGTAGTCATTTGCAAGCCTGTTTATATATTTATGTCCATTTGTTGTGTTTTATATTACAAATCAGTAATATTTAATCTATTAGAACTCAGATAAAAATAGATACTTCAATGCCTCCTAAATATTAGATGAATATAAATAGCACCATTGTGGAATTTTCTTCAAAACCACACCCTTGAAAGACAGACTGTTCTATAAGGCAATATTTAAGGCCTTCTGAAAAGTGAATTATGATTCACTTTGTGTTGGGAACACAAAGAAAGTGGAAGAGAAAATTCTGGACCTTTGGTAGCTTGTAAAGTTTAAGGACAAATGGAAAGTGAAAAAAAAATTTAAGCCCACTTGTTTAGGGATATCTTATGTTTGTAATAAAGTAAGCAAGGGATTAAAAACTAGCACCACTAAAAATATATAACCAAGACTTGAAGAAAATAGATTTAAGGACAAAATTTATTTAATTTTAATAGAAGAAAAGAAAGCTGACTTTGAACAAGGTTACTAATTTAACTCGATAATTACATGCAATTCAATTATTAATATTTAGAATAATGGGGAAAGTTAAAGGGTTGAAACACTTAATTAAAAAAAAAAACAAAACCAAAGTGCTAAAGAGAAAAGGAAAAAGAGCAAAGTTAATGTCATACTTCTTTAAAAGGACTTCTCAGCCTCTATTAACTATGGCTTGATGGTATAAGGTTTTTCAGTGTGATTTATTTATTATGCTTTCACATAATCCTCAGGACATCTTTGGAAAGGTTATACAAATAAGTCACAATGTCGAGAAAAGAGAAGAAAGAAGAAATGAGGTTGGAAAACAAAAGTTTCCTAAAATACAGCAAAGAAAAGTGTGTACGGAGTGAAGGTGGGGAGAGGCAATACGTGGGTAGGGAGGAATGGGGACCAGAGAGGTTGGTGGAGTTAGATACATTCCCTATTTAACATGAGTTTCATGGGATGAGTTATAAAAATAACAGAAATCTGAATCTGTAAGATCCACATTTGAACCTTAGTTTCCTAGAAATGGTTACAACATAAGAATACAAATGTATCCAAAGTTCAGTGAGTCCTTAGTCATTTCCATATTTGGACATAGGTAAAGGAAAATACAACTTTTAATATCTTCTCTATTAGAGCCTTATTATCATCATCATTTAATACAAATCTCATAAAGTTTAATCAGAAAGAATAATTTGGCCTGTGTTCCAAAGAAAGCATTCCAAAGGGATTTGCTATTATGTTTCCAGTGATGTTGCTTAGAAAATGTGTTGTTTTGCTATATTCTTCCTTACAGGTCAAATAGCAGTCTGGTTTGTTAAACATCAAAAAGAAGTGTCTGATTTCTAATCGCCAAGAGACAAAGCTACTGGTGGTCTAAGGAGGACATGAGAGACCTCAAAACTGAAGTATACTGAAATGTGGGATTTTTTTTGGCAAGTGATAATGGCAGTTTGTCCAACATAAAGTAATGAAGAAGAGAGAAGGCAGCCATAAGTGTGATGTTCCAAAAAATCACGTCTGTATTTGCGTCACTGGAGAAAGTGTGTAAAGAAGCTACACTAATGAAATTATGATGGTAGCACTAATAGTTAAATACTAACTTCTTATATCACAAAAACTGGAAGTTTATAGTTTTGCCACTATTTACATTTACTTATTATTGTGTTAATGAAAGCCAAGTAACTAAATCCCTTAATAAGCCATGCTGAAATTTTCCTCAAGTTTTTGATTAGGGAAAAAACGTGCTCTTATTCATTTTAGCAGCGATAAATGACTTTCCTTCCTGAAAAAAAATCACAAAAAAATGCTCTGTATATTTTAGTCTTTCATCTCCCTTTATGAGTCTGAATCACAACAATTCAGTTATGAAAGATGGAAATTAGAACGTCTTTATTCCCCCCACCTAGGACAACAATAAAGAAAAGACCTATTGAGTTGATATGTGGACAAAACTTTATTTCCAGGGAGAAGAAACAGAAATTGAAACTACAGGTTAAAAGACAGTCCTTCAATCGGGTTCATTTTACTTAAATTTTAAGTTAGAATGAACTCAACTGTATCTTTATCTTCTGATTTTTTTTTTTTTACTTATTTTTTCCTAGACAGACTTGCTATGTCACAATCCACCTGCCTCAGTCTTCCAGCCACTCTTCACAATCCATCTGCCTCAGCTTCCCAGCTGCTCTTCACAGTCCACCTGCCTCAGCCTCTCAGCTGCTCTTTTTAAAACAATGTTTCTAAGCGGCCCAGGTCAGTGGAGAGCTCATAATCTTCCTGCCTCAGCCTTCTGAATTGTGATTATAAGTGTGTGCCACTATGCTCACACCTTAAGTGGGAACAGGAATTGAAGCTGGGCCTCCCATGTGGTTCTGGGCTGGGGAACACAGCATCTTGGCAGCATGCATGACCATGGCTGGGCCTGCCTTCTGA